GTGGATAAGGACCTGACAGACTCACCCACCTTCAGTCTGGCCCCACAGGATAAAGGCTACAGACAAGAGGAGCCCAGGAGCAACACAGTTCACCAGACAGCAGTACCACTGCCAGCTGGTCTCACCTGGGACAGGAGACAGGAAGGAGGGTATTCGTCACAAGGCCAAGCTGCGCTCAATTACACAGATCACAGAGCTGAACACAAGCCATCTATTTCAGTTCAATAACAAGAGTGTGAAGATCAAGTGCTCAGCTCATAACTGGGATTGAAAATGTTTAATTTCACATATCCCGTAAGTATTTGCCTATTCATCCAGTTCAGCACAGGAATAATGAAAGTTACATCTAAAGCAAATGTAAAAAAAAATGTTCATTTCATGAAATAATGAAATTTCATGGAGTGAAGAAGAATAATGAAGCACTGAAAGATATACAGTAATAATGATGTAAAAGCAAAAATCAAAATAAAAAAAAAAGTTTTAAAATATGATATAAAGTAATTTAGGTAGTGAAATACACAATTAGATACATGTAGTTATAAACAAGACTATTCAAAGCTTTGTAAGCCAGATTGAAAACCTTCTAATGTCCTTACCTACTTTATATATAAGTACCTCAGAAGCTCTCACAGCCACTGTTTTTAAACACTGGTGCCCCCAAGGGTGCTGTCTGTCACCACTTCTGTACTCCTTGTATACCGATGACTGTGTATCTACTACTGAACCAGTGAAATTAATCATTTGTAGATAATACTACCCTGGCAGAGCTAATAAAAAATGATCTATCTCTGTACAGGAGAGCTGGTAAATTCAAAACAATCTCCGGCTCAATGTGGGAGGATAAAACCAAAGACGTGATTGTTGATTTCACAGGTGACAGGAATAAACTACTACAGTACTCCTGGAAGAAAGCTAAGGATACGTCAAATCTAGAACAGAGTGATTCCAGAACAGAACTTATTCTGAGGGCTTCTATCTTCCCTGGGGATGTTGCACTGTATAATATTTTGTATATAATATGTGCGTGTTATTCACACTTTTCTCTTCTTTGTATCTCTGCCTTTTTGTATCTCTGTTATTTTGTGCACAACACAGAAAAGTCCTCACCACCCAAAGGGGTCGTCTGTCCATAAAGCTGACTTTGACTTTGATATGTGACTGGCCGATAGTGTAAAGAAGCTGGAACACATCTTGATAATACCCTGGCATAGCAGGGATTACTGCATCCATTGAGAAAAAAAACTTCCGTAATGTTTTAATCAAGTCAAAAAGAAAATCAAGCCTTTTAACTGACATAAAGGAGCACCTTTCCATTCTGATTGATCAATTAGTTATTGTCAAAGTGTCCAATTTACTTAACTGATGCAGGAAATAATGCTATTAACTTTAAACGGAAACTGCAATGCTATCTTCATATTTCTGGCCTTTTACACTGTACACAAGCAGGCTTGTAAATTAATCTCTTTTAATCCAAAAGAAACACTGCCCTCAACTTCCAGACAGTTTTACTTGTTACCTCTGCCTGCAGATCATGTTGGAACATTTCTGCAGTGAAATGTCTGCTGCACAACCTGCACTGATCCGCTCGTACATCACAGTACAACTGTCATGACAGGGACTAGTGAGCAGGAAGGGCCAATTCCCGTCACAATTCATGGGAACTCGAATGCAAGTTTGTGACAACATGGGGACTTACAGTGTCTTCAAAGTTCAGAATTGTGCACTTAATTCTAAATTTGTATTTTTTCTGTGACGTCAATGAACTTACTTTGTTACCCTGATTGAATAACCAGTCTGAGAAATTGGGACTGCAGTTCCCCTTTAACATTCAGGCACTTAAATGAGCTACTACTCTGTACAAAAATCATTTGAACAGCCCAACTGTTTAGCAATCATGTCGTAAATAACTCTTGGTATTAAAGATGGGATTGTTTGGCAATGTAGGATCTAACAATGGGAAGTTCATGTGAAAAACAGCGCCCCCTACTGCACAGTGACCCTGGACCAGGGGTAAGAGTGACACCTGCTGCTCCATGTGCACCACTTACAGCAGCAAGCTGCCTGTGCCCGCAGGTCAGGACTGACCAGGCCCGGCCCTGCCGAGCTGCTGGACCTGTCGAGACCAGGCTGCAGGGTGGGAACACTGCTGTCTGAAGCTCTTTCAGGCAGCTGACCACAAAGTTCCAGCACAACCCAGAGCCCCAGTGCTGACGGGGTCAAAGGTGACTCTTGTAACATATTTGTACAGCACAGGCAATGTGGGATGTTGCAGATTTAGAATTACAGCATCACATGAGTTAAAAGCTGAACTCACGTTTCTTAAGCAAGAACTGGTATGTTGGCACGCTGGTCAGGATCACGACTCCCAGTGCAGAAAGA